CCTGCCACGAAATCTGCGCGTTAGGGTCAACCAAATGCTGCCGCTGCCACGAAATCTGCACTTCAGGGTTCACAACGTGCTGCCCCTGCCACGAAATCCCCTCTAACCTCGAGACCCTTGACCCTGAGCGTGATTCGTGATTCGTGATTCGTGATTCGTCATCGGTCCCTCTAACTTTGAGACCCCTGACCCTGAGCGTGACTCGTTTTGCCAAAGTGCTGCACTTGCCACGAAATCTGCACTTCCGAGCTCACAAAGTGTGGTCCCTGCCACGAAATCTGCGTTTCAGAGTTCAGAAAATGCTGCACCTGCCACGAAATCTGGGCATAGGTATCACAAAAAAAAATAGAAAGAGCATCAAAAAAATAAAATCAGGATCAAAAAAATCAAAGCGAATCAAAAAATAAATATTCCTTGATAGGCCTCTTCTGCTGCTCTCTTGGCCTTGTGGTCTGCGGGTCCTCTGGTAATGTGGTCCCTTGGTCCTTTGGTCCCTTGGTCCTCTGGTCCACTGGTCCTTTGGTCCCCTGGTCCCTTGGTCCTTCAGTCCACTGGTCCCCTAGTCCTCCGGTCTCCTGGTCCTCTGGTCCTGTGGTCCGCTGGTCCCCTGGTATCCTAGTCCTTCTGTCTCCAGGTCCGCTGGTCTTTTGCTCTCCTACGGCGCTCGTCTGTCGATCTCCTGGTCCCCTGCTTGCGCAAATAGAGGCTTGATTGCTTTCTACTAGAGGCAGCTCCCTGGGAAGAAAGTAGGTACCCAACGATAAGGTTGCCGTCCAGTCATTGAGTAGCCCTACTCGAAAAATGGTTCACCAGTAGAAATAGCTCCCTACTAGGAGGGGCAGTGGGCTAGATTTTTTTTTTGATTCCCTTTTTATTTTTTTTATTGATCCCCGTTGAATATTTTTCTATTTTTTATTATTTTTTTTGATCCCTTACCCCGAAATCTGCACGTTAGGGTCAACCAAGTGCTGCGCCTGCCACGAAATCTGCACTTCAGGGTTCACAACGTGCTGCCCCTGCCACGAAATCCCCTCTAACCTTGAGACCCCTGACCCTGAGCGTGATTCGTGATTCGTGATTCGCGATCCTGTCTTGGAGCTTCTCCGGATCACGTCTCGATCATGTGCACCTTCCGCCCCCCCGTTTTCCACATTATTTGAGCAAACTGGGTGGAAGCAACTGCCCACAGAGGCGTTATGCTGGGGTGCTGCGGACAGTCTGCGGCAGCGGCCAGCACACAAGCGCCAACAGTGCCTTGGCATCGTCAAGGAGTCCTTGCCAACGGTTGAACCTACGGTGTTTGCCTTTTCAGACTCAAATATTTTTAAGCGCATAAAAGTAACTGCTTGGCATCTCAGTTCATCGCGAAGATCTTAAGTATCATATGAGGAGAGTCAATCCTGCCTCTCATGCCTCACACAATGCTGCACAGCGCCCAGGCAGAAGCTGCTTGCGACAAAGCGCCGAAGTGTGCCGAGTTGGGTTTGCAAGGTCAGTGCTGCCCGGACCTCAGTCTTCAGAGCAAGAGCAACATGTTGATTTTTGTTGATACATTTAATTACATGTTGTGGTTGCAACTTGCATCTCAAATGGTCAACATGGGAGAACTCCGGAAAGACACCTGGCGCATCCTGGCACATCCGAAAAGGACACCGACATCTGAGGTCCCAACCCCTCGGGTGTCCGCCTCGGCTGCTGCCCCTGATGCTCAGCAAAGACTGCAGCGTCATGAGGAAGGTATAGAAGGTCATCGTCCAGAGACCGAACGACGGAGCGTTGGAGGTAAAAAGCAAGGTTTTTGGGTTCCGGATTCTTTTTGGATGACCTTGATGGTATAGTGATGTTGATGGTAGCAACTATGCATTAGTCGATGCGATGATGAGTTTGTTGAGCATTGCTTGCGTGATTCAAAGAGTTTGGTAATGAACAATTATGGGCCAGGCCAGTCTATATAACACGAGAAGAATTATGTGCTGCCCACAACTCTTATGACGTTCAGGGTCTTTCAAGGTATGTCTCGCATCGGAGAAATCACGAGACTAGCAGATACACGCGATGAAACGAAGGTGAGGAAACACACAACGTGGCTGTCAAGCCCACGGCAGACAAGCCCGAGACAGCTCTGTCGTTGCGGACACACACACACACAAGTGTTGTGATTGATTTATGAGTGAAGTGTTTTGTGCTAAGCTTGGCATGCTTTTGCTCAGTGTAGCCGTTTTAACCGTCAAATGCGCTTTCACACCTTTGGTATTTTTTTGGAGGCCTGAAAACGCATTGCACATTGTCAAACTTGAGGCTCTTCTGCTCCTTTGAAACTAATCTCTTGGAATGTGCAAGGCATGGTGAACATCTTCCGGTTTCTCTTTTGCACGTCTGCCGCCGTGGCCTTTGCCTTGCCAGAGACGGACATTGTCAATGCCTTGTTGGAGGATGGTCTTTGCGAGGGAGACTGCAGTGTGAAGCTTCTCCAGCGACTTAGATGAATGAAAGATGAATCATATCAAGACGAATGAGAAGCATTAGAAGCATTGAGGCTTTTTGAGAGAGGGTAAAACTATCAGGCTACAGATTAAGAATTCGATCTTGTTCCATTTTTTGTTGCATCAGCCCAGCTGTGCATAGGGCCAGAGGCCCTTTTCTTAGTCCTCTACGGCTGCACACCTGCAAATCATCGGATTGTGTTGAGTTTGGCGACAACCTCACAATCCCGTCAGATCAAGCAAGTATATGACTCGGGTTTTGGTGCTCTACTGGCCCCGCGTAGAAGCACCAAGAATACCAAGGATCAAAGGTACAGTGGAGGAAGAAGAGGTTTGCCTTGAATGGAAGCAGTGCCTTGGACGTTCGAGCTTGCGTTTGCTCCTGTCAACGATGTTGTGGAAGCTTAGTGTCATGGTTTGTGACACTGAATCTCAACACCAACCGATCATGGCCGTATTGTGACACATGCTGGCATTTTGCCAATGAAGTGCTGGTGCACTTCTAGGTGTCCGGACAACTCCGAGTACTACCTGGGTAAGAAGTGCAACGATCAACAGCTTGTTTGCACTCGCTGCTCGACTTCAGTAGTTAAAACCTGGTTTTCCATAATTTTGCCTTTTGGCCAGATCAGTTAGTTCAGCTGAAATTCGGACATTGGACAAACTCATGTATCAGTACTGCCAGGCTATGGTAAGCCGCAAAAGCGCCAATGCCTGAAATGGGTGAACTGCAAAAACAGCTGCTACTGCGCCCAGTGGGCCAAGCTCTTGGAAGAATCGGCCGAGACGGCAGATGTCGAGCGGTTAGGAGTTGCCGTGCCAGAGGTGACAGCCGATGAGATTGTGGAAGTGGAAACGCAAACAGACAAAGCCGCCAGCGCCGTCGGCTGACGAATAGGCGATTTTTATGCCGATCTAATTGTGGAATTCAGGTAATTTTGGGCTGCTGGAACATCCAAGCTTCCAAGTGCCATGCTCGATTAAGACTGCCACCGCTACTCCGTCGTGAACCATTTTTCCTCCGAGCTTCCACTCTTTTGCGGCGAGGACGTGGTGGTAGTACCGACGCCGACCCCAAAAAGACTCGCTGCGATGTTCCGAGACGTCCGATGCTTCGTTCAGGTTCGTTCAGCAGCGGCGTTTTTCATAAAACACATAGTATCAAAATATCAAGACCTGGTTATCAAACACCTTGGAGCCATCCTGTGGAGCGCCAGGCCACCATTACAACGGTGGGCTATGGCGAATCTTGGCCGCATTGAGTTCTCGAAGCTGCTTGTGGGCAAGCTTCGGCCATCGAACGCCGATGTGAGCTCCAAGGATGACATACCAGTGACCATCCCTGGTCAGGCCCAGCACTGTCTCGTTGGGTTCTTTTCTTTTAGAGAAACCAACGAGACGAGTTTGATGATAGGAAAGTCGTTCAAAGAAACGGGCCTTGCCCAGATGATTGGAGCCGTTGCAATCCTCTATGGCACGATTCTGCTCGGGCCACACCGGCACGTTGGACCCGATCCCCCTCAGATCCGGAGGGTCGAAGGAGGGCGGAACACCGCTGTTGCCAGCACCACATGGTGTTTTCCCAGGTTGCCGATTGGAATCATTGGCTCTCAGTACGTTTCTCAGATCTCTTCGTTGTGTGCAGGACCCCATCGGAATCTCAACGCTTGGAATCGCTTGCTTCTTAACGGAACGAGGTTCTCTGGGGAGTTTGCCCGCATGATGGCCATGGGCCGGAATCGTCAGGGCCCTTGGCGGTTGGACCTACTGTTGATGGAAGACAGCCTGCAGCACCTAGAGCTCCCCAAAAGTACAATATATATATATATATATCATTGGATCAATCATATTGTATCATATATAGTTACAATGTACATGTATCAGGATTTCTAGCATTCGGCATTTGTGTTTTCCATGAGACATGTTTGTTTTCTTTCCGTTGTGGAGTAGCGAGTCCTGTTGAGGAGAGCGGAAGGACATTGACCTGCGAGGAGGTCAAGGAGGTGGCAGCTTTAGAATCCAAGGGCGAGTTGGAAGTCTTACTTGTACCAAACTTGCCAAAGAATTGTCCTCTTATTGTTCAAGCTTTAGCATCTAAAGCTAGGATGAAACTGAGTCTGCGCACGTTTTTGTTACGCCAAGGTGACCAAGTGCTAGCCTAAGGCGACTGACCGTGTGACACAAGACCCTATGACTTGGGTACGGCGTCGTTGGACATGAAACTTTTCAAATGATCACAATGTACGTGTGCTTTCTGCCGACAAACACACACACACACAGGTGCACACCCTATTACTATTCTGTATCACAAAAATGCGCACGATCACAGATGCACAGGTGCACACGAAAAAGCGGAGTAACAACAGATCAGATTTGTGTATGTGTGTGTGCCACACATTTGTTGACGCTGACCAAGGCAAGTCCTGGACGGAAAAAGCGCATGACGCGTGTCTCGCCATGGGCTCAGGGGAGATCTTGAATCAAAAAATGGGTGAGATGAGGACCAGAGCACCACCGAGAACCGGTTCATTTAACGTCCTGAAGCGGGGTAATTGCACCGAAGCTGCAGACAAACTTCATTCATATGAAACAATCACTTAAGATCGTTTTGCTGCATCTTTGACTATGTAGTATCAAAGTATTCTTGCCCAAGATTGTGCAAAGTGCTGTAGTTCATCGGTCCTGTCAAAAGACTGTGGTGCCCATTTGACAATTGTGGTGATCCTTCGTAGAGGGCTTTGGCTGTCTGACCAAGTTGTAGATTGTTTACACCGTGGCATAGCCGTGGCTCAAGCAGAGCTCCAGATTTTGCCCCAGCAAACGCCATGCTAGCTCGGGCGGCTTGTAGGCGAGCGAAGATGGTGATTTGGACGAGTTTGAACCATTTGGACATGTTTCCAGGTGTTCATCTTTGGACATGTCAAGTATGTCAAGCAACAGATTTTGAGGAGATGGTGGAAACACGTGGAAACTCCGTTGTTCAAGCTAGACAGTGGACCGCATCCCCACAAACATGACCACGGCCCAGCATGTCCAAATGGTACAAGTAAAAACATGTTCATACAGACACCCCCGCAAGTCTCGCAGGCGCGCTGGCGCCGCTCTCGGCGGCCCAGCCTTGCGCGGCTTCGCTGCGTCGCCGCTGGAGTCTACGGTGGGGAAGCGCCGGTGGCGGTAGCAGCGATAGCATTGATGCCCATGCATGATGTTGCATGGTATTGCACGGGTGTCGTCGGTGTAATTAAGTGTAGAAATGATGCTTAAGTCTTGCGAGAGGCAAAGCTGTATGAAGAGATCGTGGACAAGTCCCTGAAGGAGCAGAAAAAACACAACAGCAAGGTTCAGACTGGGACGTGCAGCGAGGAAATGGGTCATGACATGTGTTTCTGATCGTTTCATATGGGCAGTGCCTGGTGTGGGTCGAGACGTAACGTATTGACTCTGCCTTGCAGGAGTTCCAGGCCAATGAAAAGACTGTGCAGCACTCAGCCGGGTCCTGTCTGCTTGGGGATCAGCTGAAGCGGAATGTTGAAGGTATTACGAGAACTAGAGTAGGTTTGAATGGTTTTCTAAAGCCTTACGGTAGTGGCGTAAATTGTCAGCTTTTCAGCCACAAAGAAAGAATGGAGTCGGAAGATTCGCAGAGAATTGTCGGCATGTTCTCTTAGCTTCTTATCTTGAGGTATCTGCAGATTTGGACGCAGAGATTTCTAGTAGCAAGGCACGAGGGCCAGAAGTGTGGAAGCTTCATGGCCAGTATGGCATTGACCAATCTACGAGGGCAAAGAACAACTCACACGCAACTTCTGGTCAGCTTACATGTAGATTGTAGATTTGTAAAGAGCTTCCGTTTCATCGCACGACAAAGCAGTGGGCAACTGTCAGGTTTTCAGTTTTCAGTGTTTAAGCTGGCTCTATGTTTCGAACGTGTTGGAACTATCCGATACACCTTCAGCCGTGCAGGTGGTGCTCTTCATGGAAGGCACGCCTGATGCACCAAAGTCTGAGCCGAGCCTGAACGCCTCCAAGCTGCAAGCAGACATCAAAATGGAGGATACAGTATTTTTAATGTATTCTACAATCCTTTTTACAGCAAAAGATGCAAGCAGGCTTGTAGTACTATATATATATATATAACACCACTGGTTTTGATGTGGCGGCTCTAGTCTTTCTTGTTTCTTTTTTCTTGGCTTAGGCGGTGAAGATGCTCACCGAAGCGCAGGTGGTTCCCATGACTTCTGTGAACGCTCCTCGGAGAATTGTGCGAAGAAGACCACACTTGTACCCTCTCAACAAACTGTCTTGGGACAACGAATGGGACAACTTGTGCGCAGACCGGAAGGCGCTTTCTGAAATTTTTGAAAGACAAAAACGACCGGTGATTGGACGTTTTCATAAACAATTCCTTCAGGTTTTGGCCCACCCGGCCATCCTTGGCTATACCGTGTCTAAGACGCAGAAGCGACGGACGCCACATTTGTACGTCAACGGCAGCGGCTTGGCGAAAAGGACTTGAGGAACGTGGTTTGGTGATGTTTGATGGTTGTTCCGTGGGTGTGGATCGAAAGCTGGAATGTCCAAACCAGGTTCACCTACCTCAGAGTTTCCGAGAGGTCAACGTCATCCAGCGTCCTGAGTTTTGACCGATGGCCCATAGTAGCAGTGGTTGTCAGGTGCACCACTTGCTTAGTTTTGTTACTTGCTTGGTGCTGAGGAGGGTGCAGATGACAGTGATCGAGAGTATGTCAGTCAAGACAGCACGAACTGAGGCTTCTATGCCGACTATGATGGGCTCATGTCCCAACACACCTCAGGTGGGCCCATCTCAATGCTGGTAGTTGACACCTGGGTCTCCTTGAATTGGTTCTTTCATTTCTTTCCCTAAACGGACTTGGTTTGAAGGCCAACTGAAGAAGCTGGGAACAGAGGCAACAAAGAGCACTGGCACCTTTGGGGGCGAGCTGCCTATTGCCACCTACTGAGGTGCGTGGACCTTAGCATATATAGACATATATTACATATTGCATTCTACATAATATATAATGATAATATATTGACAGCTTATTGTGAGTTAATTGCTTCTTGTGCATTGCAGAAGTCTTTGCATCATACAACAACAAAACAGTGCAGTAATAAGCTTTGGGGCTGGAAGAGTTGCTGAGACCATTCATTTTTGTGGATCCAGTCTAGCACTGATTTGCCACATGGCACTTCCTCACAGGCGCACTGTTGTGCTCTATGACTGGAAGTAGTAGATGAGTGCGCATTGAACATGTCCCGACTGTGAAAACGTGATGCTGATGATGAAACCCTTGAAACAGAATGTTTCTGTAGCTGAATCAACTCTGATCACTGTCAACGCCTTCTGGTTGCAGCATCGCTGATGCAGAGTATGTTTGATAGATTTGAACTTGTAAGGAAGAGAGTTGGAGAATTACCTTGCTCATGAGAAAAGAGACTGCTGCCCTTTTTTGTGCGTGGACAAGCGATCTTGCATGACCTGTGCAAGACCTCACGTAATTTTAGGGATGCCTCCTGCCACGTGGGAATAGGCTGCCGAAGTCTTGTTTGAAGAGCCAACACATTTGGCATTCAAGTCTCTTAAAAGTGCCTAAAGGGGCTTCAAGATCTTCTGGTCATGGCTGACGAGAAGAACCACCCCAAAACTCTGAAGCTGAGAGCGACATGTGCCTCAGCCTTGCTACTGTGAGGTTGCATGTGGTGAGCACTATCAAGAAAGTCATACAGCGCGACTCCAAAAAGACACACGAGGCGATTCCAGCTCTGTGAAAGCCTTGGCCTTGCGACCTGGAAATAGAAGTAACATCCCTAGTGGCTTCTTGTTGCTCCTAGTAAGAATGCTCCTAGTAGCGATGCCAGGAGCCCCTAGTAGCGTCCTAGTAAGGCCAGGAGCCCCTAGTAGCTTCTTGTTCCTAGTAACATGAAGGAAGCAAGAGATTGAATACATTTGAGTACACCGACAAGATGGCTTATCTCTGAAGCATGCTTGAGCCACTTGAGCTTCTGCCTCCTTTTGACGCGAGGCAGAGCAAATGCAGGCAGAAAATGTCAGAAAACTTCAGCAGCACCTGCCTCGAAGCTTTGGACGCTAGCATCGAAGCAAAACAACATGGAGAGGCGAAAGAGACATTGTTGGTCCTTGAGGCTTCCTTTGACTCAAAAGCAGAAAGAACAGCCGGATCCCTAGCTCTTACTCAGCTCAATGAAGCTGTGTAACCTTGAGTCAAAAGCAACTTGTTTTGGGGCAGGATCCAGTCCATTTGCTTTTCTCCTGGAGACAAAAAACATGAACAAGTGTCAGACGTGCGACCACAGGGCCAATGTGGCTTCTTCTGCCAGGCTGATTGGCTCCAAATACGCCTTCGAAGACTTGCTGAAGATGCATGGGGAAAGCATCGGGATCACGGTGGGCTTCTGCAGCGTCTCTGTTTGCGAGCGACCAACTTGCGAACCCCCCTCAGACTGAGATAGTCGGCGAACTTGGACCACCGGGTTCATCCGAGATGCGCAGGGGCCAGAAGTATTTTTAAAGGTTTCGCCGCACACATAGGGTGATCTCTTCGGCAGCGAAGTGTTGACATCGTGAGCATCCTCGTCATGTGAGGATTCTCGTGTCATTCAATTTGGACAAGGTTATCGGTCCTAGAGTCCTACTCATCATCGAATGAATATGTGCTTAAGCGAGTGGTACGTGGATGCAGCGGGGGTCTTCAATTCCACGTAATCGATTCGAAGAATGACATCCGCTTGAAACATGACCGTGTCACCACTGCTCCACTGGAATCTCAGTTTCCCTCATTAAGCATGGACATGTCAGCCCTTACTAAAGGGGCCCCTTCTCTTCTTTCCTTCTCACTCTTTTATAGTCTTTTATGTAATCTTTCCATTTTTGTTTTATTTATCGATGTCCTTTGTATCGTCCGGAGCTAGTTCTAGGAAAGAGTTCAGTCATGCGCCAGGTAGACACTCAACAGTACTGGATGGAGGCACAGATGGGCAAGAGTGGACGTCATGTCTTGATATGTTTTGATGATGTGACGTCCAGCTCATTTTCACAAATTTACCTCAATGTTGAAGGAGATGGGGACTCCCATGGCAAGCAGGATTTGGCTCATCGTTTTGTCCAAATCTTACTACATTACTATATAATCTATAATCTATATGACATGGTAACCCACGGGTTTGAAGAGGAGGGCTACCCCCTTTGCCGAACCAGCTTTCCGGCCGCTGGTTTGTTCTCATTTGCCCGCATCATTCGTTTAGGCCAAGGGCCCATGAAATGCAATGCTACTATATGCTACTAATACTTCGAGCATTCAATTTGCAAGGGGGTGGCCATTCGATTTGTTTGTTCAGCCCACAAGAGGAACACCTCAGATGAACGCTGTTTTCTTTGCCAACAAATCAACGACTTAACCTTCAGCAAAGTATACCGAGAAAAGACCGGACCTGAGTTCCTTGTCAGCCTTGCTGACACCAAGTCGTTTCCAAAGCCCGACAATCAGTCAAGTTGGCGCTTGATTTCTATTCAGAATGCCTTTGCAAACGGCTTTTCCAGGCTGTTTGGGCTTGCCAATTTCAAGCAGGTCCTCCACTGGACAGAGTTTCAGCGTGTTTGGGGCCCAGAGTGTCCCGCAAAGTTGAGATATGTTGCTTTACTTTGTGATTTGGAGGAGGAGCAGTTGGAGAATATTCGCTGAGCCTCAGGTATTCTGACTTTCCTTGCTGATGCCGAAAAGCGAAGGCAGGCGAAATGAGTCAAAGCACTGGCCCCACAGCATCGCTCCATCGACCCTTTAGAGGCTACTAACCAGTAAGGTGTATGCCAGAGTCCCAGACCCTCAAAATCCTCCGATTTGTGCGGCGCCATTAATCAAGAACTGGTCCTTACTGAAATGGTGCGCACAGTAGGCACAATTTGCTTCATATGCCAGGAGCCCCTAGTAGCTGGTTTCGATGTTTAAGGTTGCATCTGGAACCTGAAGAGAAACACTAGTCACTAGCACTGATGGGTTTGTGTTCAAAGCAGGGGCCCTGGAAATGTACAGCCCTTGCGCCTTGCATGGCCTGGAGCTTGGCGAAGAGGGGGACAGAACTGAGTCTTTTGTTGCCACTCGTTGTTTGAACAATGACAAAACAAGGATGGCAAGCGGTTGCAGGATAGTTTAGACTAGACAAACTGTTTTGTTCCGTTGTTTCCGCAATCATCCTTCAATAACGTTACGGTCCCCTTAAGGTGAAACCTCTGTTCCTCTTGCCTCGGATGATGCGGTCAGAAACGGTCCCTGAGCATTGCCAAGGTTCGACCTGTGCATTGCGTGCTGTTCCGTGTCCGAGAAACTCTCCAGACCTACCTTGAGACACCAGGCTGTTGCTGACTATGACGCCCGCATGGTTGGTGAATCAATTGATTGAAGAACATCTTTTTGCTGCGGGAGGCAGACCAGGAATTCTGAAACAGCAAGCAGAAACACGATGAAACATGTTGGCATCATGGCATCACATGCCTGCTCACCTCATTGACTCTCTCCCCTCATGAGAGTCTGGAGAGGAATGTTCGTTTCAATGCAGGCCTACACTGGGAGCTCTGAGGAGAGAATCGATCACGGTCATCTTACGGATTGATACATATCCCGGACTTTCCATGTATCGAACATGCCAACATTGATCTCTGAAACCACCCCAATGTAGGCAAATTTGATCAACTATGACATACATGCAGTGTTTGGGATATGATAAGTTATGATATGGCCACTGCGAACGAGCGAGGTCAGGGGTAGGTCTACGGGGTGTGGATGCTCGCGCCATGTCTCTGTGCCCTATGTCGTTTTTTGGGAAAACCATTCATTTTGAACAATTCTCAATGTCACTGACATGTCGGAAACCTGACCTCAACAGCTTCGTAGCCGGAGTCGCGCAACGTGTTGATGGATGCTCAGCTGTGGTGGATCAGTTGTTCCTGCCAGGAAGACGAGGGCGCAAGGGAAAACTTTCAATCTGAGATGTCTCTCCACTCAGGCGGAGGCGACCCTTCTTTAACCAGTGGGTGAGGTCTTTCCAGGATGGATTTGGAACGCCGCTGATGAGGGAGAGGAATCTTGAGTAGTAGAAACGCTACCGTTAACTTAACATATAGGTACTCCTACGAAGCCTCAGCAAGGTCTATCCAACAATTTCTAGTCTTTAACATGCTTGATTCATCTTGATTTCCTTTATCTTATCAGCACCACAACATCTCAAGATGGGATGAGAGATGAGAGTCTGAGTTGTTCCCTACTCTCAGATTTCAGTCATCGACGCCCCACGTCCATCAGGTGACGAAGGTCGGAGTCCCGTCGAGGGCGAATCCGACGAGGACCATGCTGCCGCCGTGTGACGTTCTTTGTTTTTTTTTTTTTCCTTTTCTTTTCTTTCTACAAAACCATTTTTTGTTTCTTTTTGTTCATTTCTTCTTGCGTCCTTGTTTGTAATTAACGTCATTATATATTTCAACCCAAGCACATCAATGACCAACACGGAGAGCGGAGCGCAGCGGAGAGTGTTGGACTCGAGGACTCGCAAGTCAGAGTTGGACTTCGCACCAGGGGATCTCCTGAGAGTACCTCCAAAGAGTCTGTGGCAACTCCACCAGATACTCCGCGACGCAAAGTTCTTACATCGCTCTGAATTTGCCCAGTCGGACATGAAAGGATGTTTTGGCAAAGTAATATAGGGCAGTAGGGATTAGTAGGGCTGCTCACTGAGAAGCGCTGAAACGGCCAGACTGCACGAAACGCTGCGCACTATCTTCCGTGCTGCGCGTTTTTTTGTGGACCCCTTCAGGGGGGCACTCAAATATTTTTTTGGAGACATGTTGCCAAAGGCAATGTCTCCTTTACTCCTAAGCACTAGCATCCCTCAATGGGGCTTGGGATGCCAATTTGCTGCTCGGTTGGTCAAAGGTATTTAAAGCCAGAGCAGCAGGATTCAGCCTGAATTGCCCAAAAGACAGGGGATCGTTCTCAGGTCGTCGAGGTTGTCGATGGTTTTCAGCAGATGCACCACCACTTTTAGAGCTGGTATTCCTTTGCTGACGTCACCCTGTTTTCAATTCTTGTAGTATTTGGGGAAGGGATTCCGAGCATTTGACATCAGGGAGACAGAGGTCCTGTATGGAAAAGTTAATATTCTAGCAGCATTTCTATATGGTTGGACAGCTGGAAAGCATGGATGGATTTAGTTTGATTTATATAGTGCTTTCACTGTTCCCAAGAAGCCTACTTCTCCATTCAAGAAGCCCTTTTAGGAGGGACCAGAGACCACAATGCACGATTTGTCCTCTACCAGAAT